TCTTCCCAGCCTCCAGCCTCCATACCTCCAGCACAGAGATATAAAGACCTTGAGGCTCACAGAAATTTCAAGAAATCATTCAAGCCAAAAACATTGAACACAAAGACATTTTTTCTTTAGTATTATTAGTTTCTTTCCTAATCCATTCTAAAGAGCTGGAAAGTTTTCCTCAGTATGAAACCTTTACTGTCTTTGTTTCAAATTCAATAACCTGTCCCCAACGGTCATGAAAAAGAGTCAAAGATCATCGTTTTAATAATTGTGTTTAATGCATTGGAATATTATAGTTGCATTCCTTCACAAATTTTCTCTTGCCTAGATTAAACTACTAAGCTGCACCATTTTTTTTTTCACAGCTTATATATTCTATAGCAATTCCAGATTGTCAAAGTTGTTTCTAAGATGTTAAAACATGGTACGCAAAAACTGGACATGGCATTTCAAGTGATATTTTCCTAGTTCTTCCATTTTTCACATATCCTGTCAATACTCACCTGAAGCAGATAAACTATTTTTTTTTATTTTTTTAAAGGAGCCCTGCTGACATATTCAGTTGGCATTTCACTGAAAATCTTATATCCTTCAGAGCTGACATCTCACTAGTCATTTTTCTTTCCTAAACTTACAGCATAAATATAGTATTAATTTCACACAGATCTGAGCTGATCTGTACTACACAGCACATTTATGTCATGACAGACCTTTCACTTTTTACTTTAAGTACACATGGCTGTAATTGAAATTATAGTTTCATGCTCTAGACAATTCCCTACATAGTGGAAAACTGGATGATGCTACTGTAAGCTTTGGACATGGAAGTAGTTAGGTTGTAGGTTTGACCAAGTACAGCAGGTCTTACAATCTTGTGTGCCTAGTGTTTAGTCATTTTCAGGGTAAGCAAGTACATATTTTAAGCAGAATGATAAAATTAAGTGTGATAGGACACTATATCATAATATACATGTATATATCCCTTTTGATAGTCTGTGCCTAATTATAATCTTCCTCATGGACCTGACCCATCCCCATTATCTTCTACTTAACTTTTATTACATATAAATTCTTGTAGCATGTGAAAGACTAGTTGGGTGGACAGGAATTCCAGCATGCACGAAAATAACAAAGACAAACCAAAATAACAAGACAAACAAACCTTTCCATAGATGCAAGGTGAATAAAGTGTGGAAAAAAAAAAAAAAAAAAAAAAAAAAAAAAAAAAAAAAAATGACAGATGCAGAATGGAAATACCTGGAACTAAGTAAGGTATATCTAAAATCTCCCTGGGATGCCAAATTTTTAGGCCATTTGACACGTTTACTTCATAAACAGTTATTGTTTGGGTCCGTCTCTGAATGACCTTCTGAGAAACCTGTGTGTCTCCCAATAGCTCTTTGGGGAAGCTAAGTGGAAGCAAGAGTTCAGCAATGTGAACACCCAATGAGAAAAGTGGTCAGAGCAACAGGTGGGTATCAGCAACATGAGATGCCCAACCACTGTCAATCCGATTTGAAATATCACTAACTGCTTATCTGAGCTCTGAAAGCAATCTTAATGGACTCAACTGAAATAAATAGGATTCTTCTGAGTATTTATGCCATGTAACATCAGATTCAGATGCAACACTGGAATATCACACATAGTGTGTGCAGAATGCAGGTGCCACTGGACAAAATTTCAGTGCTGCAACCAAAATTTTGGTGCAACTCTTGATGTACATTTAATTGCATACTTCTTCGTATATGAATGAGCAAATTAAGATCTGTGTTCTGCACACTTTGGTGAATTCATGCTGACTAAACCTGATGATTTTCAAGTGCCTGGAAATGGTCTCCAGGACTAGCCGTTCATTCACCTTCCCAAGGATTGAGGTGAGGTTGACCAGCCTGTAGTTGCCTGGGTCCCCCTTCTTGCGCTTTTTAAAGATAGGAGTGATATGTGCTTTCCTCCAGTCTTCGGGCACTTCTCCCAGTTGCCATGATCAAGCAAAGATAATAGAATGGCCTCACAATCACATTTGCCAGGTACCTCAGCACTTGTGGGTGCATCCCAACAAAGCCTGTGAACTTGTGAATGTCCAGTTTGCTCAAGTATTACCTGACCTTATCCTCTTCCACCAAAGATACATCTTCCTTGCTCCAGCCTTTCAGCCTAGCCTCTGGGACCTGGGATTCCTGAGGGTTAGTCTTGCAAGTAAAGACTGAGGCATTCAGTACCTCAACCTTTTCACTGTCTCAGGTATCCAAGTCTCCTGTTTCTTTCAGGAGAGGGCCCACATTTTCCATAGCCTTCTTTCAGTCACTGAGGTACTCATAGAAGCCCTTCTTCCTGTCTTGCATATCCTTGGTCAGATTCAGTTCTATCTAGGCTTTAGCTTTCCTAACTTGATCCCTGGCTTCTTGGACAATGTGCTTTTGAAGCAAAGAATGTCAGCGTCATCCTGGTCTGCATTAGATGAAGTATCACCAGCAGGTCAAGAGAGGTTATCCTTCACTCTACTCAGCACTGCTGAAGCTATACCTGTAGTGCTGTGTCCACTTTTGGGCCATCCTGTGCTGGAAAGATATGTACATACTGGAGAAAGTCTGACAAAGGGTCAAGAAGGTAATTAAGGGACTGGAGCATCTCTCCTATGAGAAAAGGATCTGGGACTATTCAGCTTAGAGAGGACTCAGGGGATTTCAACAATGTGGACAAATACCTGAAGGGAGGGTGCTAGGATGATCAGGTCAGGCTCTTTTCAGTGGTGCCCAGTAACAGGACAAGATATAATAGGCACAAAATTAAACACAAACAGTTCCCTCTGAACATCAGGAAGTACTCCATTACTGACTGATCACTGGCACGGGTTGTCCAGAGAAGTTGTGGAGTCTTGCTCCTGAGAGATCTTTGAAAGGTATCTGGACATGGTCCTGGGCAACCTGCTCTGGGTGTCTCTGCTTAAGTGGATGACCTCCAGAGGTCCCTTCCAACCTAAACCATTTTGTGATTCTGTGAAAACTAATTCTGTATCTAGGAACAATCTTTATTATTTTTAATACAGATGTCATTCTTTTACATTGCAAAGGTACTCTCTATCTTCAGAACTTCTTTGAAAGCAACCTCCAGATAATCTGAGATTGACTGATCATATTTTTTTCTGAGAAACAAATTCTACCCTGTGCTAATAAAATATCACTTGGGGTGAATTGCATCAGCTGCATTTACTTCTATGGATTAAAAGCTCTCCTACCCCTCACATAAAAAAGGCAAGAGAAATTTATTGGCACTCACTGAAATTATTATGAATTCCATAGAAACAGGAAAAGGATAGATTACTCTCTGTATGAGTGTAATACACAAGGCATAACTGGCTTGTGATACACAGGAAACCAAGCAACAGCCTAACATTTTTGTCTTTTAGATACCTAAAGTTACATTAAAGTAAAGTTTCATCTTTAATTCCACCCAGTGTCATCTCACAATAGTGCATACAGAAGAAAAAAATCCATTATTCAAATTCTATGTCCACCCATTTAATATGTAATTATTATAAATGGCATTCATATAAAACTGCAGACAGGTAAAAAAATTGTGAAACATTAAGGCAATAAATGATCAAGTAAAGGGGCAGTGAGAGAGAAATTTCATATATTCAATCTAGCCAGTGGGAAATTGCTATACTTTGAGAAGCATTTTAACTAAAATAAGATACACAAAGCCTCAAGGAAAAGTATAGAACATTATTTTTTCTCTTCTTTTCCTAAAATAGGAACAGTGGTTGTTTGTTTTTGGTTGGTTGGTTGGTTGGTTGCTTGCTTGCTTTGTTTGTTTGTTTTCTGAACAGATAAAAAAGGTGTACTTAAAATTAATCCAGGGCATTTGGTATTATCCTGTGGAGAACTAGAACTAGAGCACATCCATTTTTACAGGTATTTTATTAGCAGGCATAGCTGCATTGGAAAAATATCTTTTAAGACTTCTGCAAAGAGACCACTTTATGCAGATTGCTTCTGCCCAGTCTACTTCTTGCAGCCTGAGAAGACATTTACAATGTCAAGTGGTGAATGCCTCACTAATTATGCAATGATGTGTTAAGCATGTGTTAGGCCCTTCAGGCTGCTGCTTTAGAGACTGCATCTGATATGGTGTTGATAACAGTTAGCTTAGTGGAGGGAATCTGAGCATCAGGGAGTCTATTTAATCATAGCTTAGAATCAGACCAGGCCTAGTCTTTGCTGTTAGGGTGAAAGGTACATACAAAACAACAACAAGAGATAAAGTACTGAACATCCTCACAAATGAATACTGAGTTTTGTCTAAGGAGAAGAGAGGCATGATTTTGTCCTGAGTTTCCACATTCTAGAAACACAGTGTCAAAAAGAAATTGTAGTTGTGATGAAAAGTGTCTCACCAAGACAAAGTGGAAGATGGCTTCCTTCCTTCATCACAAAAAAAAAAAAAAAAAAAAAAATCATTAAATCATTACAGACTAGGCCCAAGCTTCAGTGAACTCAGTTTTCACTTACTGTGGTGGGTTTTGCATGCGATCTCCTGCACTCAGGTACTCTGGATATATCTTCGAATTAATCTGCTCTCCTTTCTGCCACTTGACAGAAGGGCTATTTCACTTTTAGAGGTTATTATCCCAGCTGTGTTGAGGTGTATTAGGAGCCCAGAGAGTGGATTCTGATTGTTTGTCTGCCTGCGCAGGGCTGAACCTGGTCCATCAGGAGACCATTGCCGTAACTGCACCCAAGGCTCTCAGTGCAAAATCCACAGACAAGAAATCAAACAAAAACAGACAAATAATATCATATAAGATATGGGGAAAAATGATCATAACTGTACAGGGCAGTAGATACCTCGGTAAAACAGGGATGAAAGAATTATCCAGAAACTATGTAGTCCATCCCTCTGCTCAGTAAATCTGTAATGCTGCATAGATGCTTTTCTGATCTCTTCTTCAGGCTTATCAGTATAACAATTACAAACATACCTCACATTCTAGTGCTTCACCTTACCTACTTTAAGCAAGCTTTTCCTCATGTCCCATCTGAATCCCCTTTATTGCAGAGCTGGTCATTCCTCCTTATTCTTACACATGAGACATGGAAAATAGATTATATATATATATATATATATTTAAGAAAAATTTCAGTCTCCTCAAGACTAAACAATTGTTGCACCTCAAGTTTCTTCTCTTTTTGAATGCTTTTTTTCTGTGTGTGTTCATTTTCCTATAGTTCAGAGATTCTTAATGCACAAGGCCCAGAATTTTTAAGTATACCCTCTAATGCTTTACCAGTAGAGAAGTGGTTAAATTGCCAACTCTTGTAGGATCTACTGCCCATAAGTCATTGCTTCATGTTTGTGTATTTTGGCAATAGTTTGAAATAACTGACTCCTTGTCATTTTGTAATGTACTGCATGAAAATAGCCTGCCAAATATCTCTTCATACTGTAGCTGGTTTCTGCATTAGTGCAGAACCTCACTCTTGACCTCTGCAAGCGTATGTCTAAATACTGTTTCTTTCTGTTATGTTTAGAATAAAATTTTCACTGTGCAGTTTCCATTAGAGCTTCATTTTACAATTTGGACTGGAATATTAGAGATGCACATTCTTCTGCAGTTGTGTTTTTTTTTTTTTTTTTTGGTCAAAGATAAATTTTACCCCATGGATTTTTTCCTCTATACCAAGATATATTTTTCTAAATTTTACCAGCCTTTCTATCAGTATAGAAGATATACTTGCTAGAGATGCTGTATTCTAAATGACCTAACTACCTCCATAAAGTATAACTCATTGCATCAACATACCTATATTTCTACTGTTACTAGTCATCTTGATTTCTGAAACTGGCACAAAACATTGTTTTATACTGAAATAACTGCAGCCAGATTATCATTGTGCTAGCTTAGCCACACCAGCATGTGTACAAATAAAGAGATCCTGGTGTAGACAATGCCTAGGAGCATACTTTTCTGATCATAAGTGATTTCTGGCCCAGCTTCTTGCTCCTACTTTTCTCTGCCACTATCCAGTGTTTCTGTCTCCTGAAATCTGTAGCATGTGTGTGTGTGCAGCTACACCTCAGTGCTCTTGCAGTACAGTACTGAGAAAGGAAATATATACTAACCTGAATTATATAGCTTTATATGTTCCATCCTCATCAATATCCGTCACTGTTCAACCGTAAAGTATATTTATATTAGATCACAGAATATGGTGCAGAAATTTATCAGCAAGTGATGAACATCTTGCTTCAAAATCATAATCAGCCATTCTCAGAATGACCCTGTGCCCAACTTAGTAAACCTATTGAGAATCCAAACTAGAGATTAAGGAGAAGCCACAGTGGCAGATCTCAGTGAGCAATACTTTCCACTGTGGACATTACAGGAAGCCGGAGGCAATTATTTCCTAATCTGGATCCACTCTAGATAGAGCAGTTCATCCGATTCAATTATATGCACCTTCCTAAAACACTATACAATATTTCAGTGTATCTCAGAATAAACATTCTATATTACTTTCACAGGAATTTATCATTCTCCTCTCCCTTGAGCTAGATTACACCTACTAAATAAACAATTAAACAAACAAAAACAATAGCAAAAACATAATGAACTTAATCCATTTCAGGAGAAAAAACAAACAAACAAACAAACAAACAAACAGTATTTGTTCAGGGAAATTGTTCTAGATCTTACTGTTATGAGGTACAATTAAAATATAAATGTTATTTTATAGCAAAATTACTACTTCATTTATGAATACATAAAATGGACTTTAAAACTGTAGGATTTTATACCTATTCATTAGATTTTAGTACTGTTTTTATAAAAACAAGCACAAAAGGCTAGTTCTTACAATGTTTTTCCTTTTCTCTTATTCCATTATTCCCAGCAAAGTTCAAGGTCATACTGACAGTTAAATAACTGGAATGTGCATTAATATATCCATTCTTATTCATTTTTTTTGATTCAAAAGACTTTTTAAAGTAAATGGACAGTGTCTCATTAATCATTTTACTCATTTACTTATTGGCAAGATTCTCTACATTTAAACTAGAGATTATGTTAGTAAAATCTATCCCCATATGATTTGAAACTAGCTTAAACTGTTTCACTTAAAATTATCCCCAAGGAAATGAATCAGAAGACTAGTGAGTTGCAGCACTGACAGTTCAAAAAGGGAAAGAAATTTTTTTTTTAAGTATATGGCTTAAGAATGAGCTAAGTAGAGTATCTCAGAAGAGATGATTTGTCAGTGAGGAAAAACTATAAATATTATTTTTCTACAGAAATTACCAATGGGATTGCAGGCCATGATATATTGTTCCAAAACTAATTACCATGCTTCTCCGCAGAGACCAAAAAAAAAAAAAAAAAAAGGGAATCTCTGAACATAAACATAGGAAAATAATTAAAAGGAGACAATGCTTCATCTTCTTAAAAAGTGGCAGTTGTTGACAAAGCTAGTGTTACAGTTGTTTGCCGTATTTTACACCCCTCTCAAAAAAAAAAAAAAAAAAAAAAAGGAAAAATGGGAAAGATATAAAATGAAGCCATAAAAAAGAGAAAATGCATTACAATTAAAAATAAAATTTAACAAGAAAATGATGCAATCTGTTTATTTTGATTGATTTTAGCAAGTGATTTTTTAGAAAGTAAATACTGTATTTGAAAAGACGTTTGACCCAGAAGAAAACAACTTGCTGATTGAAGCCTAGGAAATTCAGAAAAAAAAAAATTCTCTTACTTTTACAGGTAACAGAGGTGGTTTGATTCTCCATTTTTTCTAGAAACTGATGGCAAGATGTTTTCCATAAGATGTTCTTCAGTCAGTAATAAGATATTGGTCTCAGAAAAATAAATAAATAAATAGATAGATAGATAAATAAATAAATAAAATTATATGGTATGTGTCATATAAGAGATCAAACTAAGTGAATTAATCATATCTCCTGGTTTAAAAATCCATGAATTCATGAGAAATACTGAATAAATAAATAAATTAACTAGGAAGCTTCACAGTTACACTATAATCATTTATTCTGACTAATTGCAATGCTGCAGTAAAACAACTATGATAAACTTCTAGGGACCATTGAGGTTCTAACATGTTCCCTGATACACTGTTGAATGCCAGACCACAGTCCTGGTCATTCATGTCACCCACACCCATTGATGTGGTACTCATCCACACACCTCTGCAGGGTATTTGAAGGGCAAGGGAGCAACAGCACTCACTGTGTGCATCCCCTTGGCTCTTGCAACATTTCAAACATCATGGGAGGATACTTGCTGTAGCTGTTAGAAGTTTTTAAATCCACTTAAAAGCTCATTTTTGGGGAAATTAATGTGCAGCCAGATATGATACCCTCCTACTGGATAACGGCTTTCTCCCAAAGAGGTATTATGGGGAAAGGGAGAAGTTTTCCTTTCGGGATGATGGTGATGCCAGCTGCCCTCTGCTCCTGCTAACCTGCAAGACTATGAAGACGGGGATGCTTCTCAGAACCTGGGCTGCATAAGAAAACACAAAGAAAAGAAAAGCAAGAGGAGAGCTGCTGAAACCCAGTGCTGTGAGAAAAGAGAAAGGACAGCTCCATTCAGGATGGCTGGCCAACAGAGCTTACAGTTGCAAGGCAGCACTGCAGGAATGGCACTAGTGGTCAGTCAACTAATCCCTCTTCCTCTTTTTTTCTTGCAAGGTGGTGTTGCCGACGGAAGGAAGACACAGACGCTCAATATGAGTGAACAGTGAACTTCAACTTTAATGGATAGCTCAGTCGTCTTTTATCTAGTTCGAACATAATCAACTCATACATATTGCAGAAACTAAGCTCAGGATTGGTTAACACTTCCCGGGCTTTTCAGTCTGGTCCTCCTTCTTTTGGCTACTTGTCCCACCTTAGGGACTTTCCCGATGGCCCAAGGGCATCGTGTCCTTGAGCCTGATTGGCTCTCAGCCAGCGGTGTACGTGCCAAGGCTCATGTGAGTTGAGTACGGTACTTCACCAGCCCATTGTCTCCCAACTGCTCAACATTCACATGTCCCGCCTCACTTAACGATTCCTCCACAAGGTGGGAATGTCCGTCTCTTACCACATCCTTGCTCCTGACCCCTTGGAATTGCACAAAGGCTGGAACTGCATTAGGTGCTGTGAGAACTGGAAATAAGTCTGTAAGGGAACCTCAGAATTAAACACAGGAAAGGAAAAGAACTACTGATTTAGCAAAAAAAAAAAATAAAAAATACAGTGCACTACCTATTCAGCACTGAGCACTTCATAAACACAGAAGTGTATGCCAAGTGACACCACTTACACTCATTTTATATATATATATAAATAGAGGATATATGTATATCCTATATATATATATTCTATAAAAAATTATAGCATGTCATTTGGTCAGCTAATCATTCATCAGCCTGGGATCTGTATTATTTAGATAATGTCAGTAAGAGACTGGCAATGGCGATAGCAATTGACAATAGTTGCAATGTATTCAGTCTTGGTAATATAAAATATTCATATTTTAATTGTAGGTATAAAGCTACCTAAATGCAGTTAGAATCTGAATTACCATAGAGCTAACACAGCAAAGTTTGTTTAATGTGTGATGTGGGCACACTCTATATTTACGGAAGCTACTCAGTTTTCCTAGAGTGACATGCATGACCCAGAAAGGGAATAGAGAAATTGATTAATGAGCTGAGTAATCAGCATCCTACAGACAATGAAGACCAAGAATTGTGTCTTTAAGTGAGCACATATTAATGCACTGAGCAGTACTTATTAATTACAATCTTCCACTCTAATTACTTTTGTTTTGCAAGAAACCTCTAGAGTAGTTCTGGATTTTCTGTTGATCAAAATACATTGACTTCTCCAAGATCAATACTCTCTCTGCACACAAGCAGAATATTTACCTAGACAGCATCTGGGAGACTTTTAGATAGCAGATCATTACAAAAAATTATTGAATATCAATATTTTAATTGTTGCCACATTTTCACGCAAGAGTAATTGAAATAAATCTTTAAATTTAGCAGATAAAAATGAAATAAGATATACCGTTTTATATTTTAGTATTGATTCCAACATAGGAGTTACCTTCATTGAAATACACTTTCTCAGACTGTTACTAAGACTGTTGTGAATCCATTTATTATTATTATTATTTTATCTAATATAAACCTAATGGGGGGAGATTTCAGTTTACAAGGCTCACAATGTAAATCTGTTAAAGCATCACACAGCCATGTGATGGTTTATCATCTTAGCATATCTTCTTCTCATAACACTTTTCATAAACCCAGCAACTTTCCATACATCCCCTATCCCTTTCACCCAATAAGAAAGAAAGAGATAACATACTGGGAGTAAAGAATTTTTTTTTGTAGACAACTAGCTTTTGAAAAGGTGTGTTTTAGGCCTACCAGATTGTGCTCACCCCTTCTGCAGCTGACTCAGGACTCGGTTATGCCAACACATCCCTTTGTAGGTTCACCTTGCAGCATAAAGTGAGGAGCTGACTTGGCTTTTTAAAAAGTAAACCATAGGCACTCTTCTTTTGCTGTCAGAGGATTGTAATTCATATCTGTTTCTCACTACCAAAGCCCATAATAAATGGTGAGGACAGCAGAATGGATTGAGTGGAAAAGAACGTTAGTTTTACAGGCCAGTATCACTTCATTAATACAATATGCAAAATAGCTTCAACAACACTTCAACCAACTTCTCTAAAGAAATAAAACTATGGTTAAGCTCTTTGCAACAATCTGCATGCTATTTGGTCCTGAATCATGGCATACTTCCAAGTTTTTACTGTTGAGTCATAATTTTTATAGGTATTTATTTTCCTACTGTGCCTGGTAGAAAGAGGCTCCATCTTCACCTTGTCTTCATCATCATACTGTGGTTTCCTTCCTCTTCACACTAGACCAGATTAGGCATTTATGAAGCCATGCAGTTACACAGCTCAGGCACTGGCCCTTCTGAAAAATAACCAAGTTTAGTGTTGTATTAGCATTAAATATGTTGTGAGAGAGGGAGAATAAATAGCTGGGGGCATAAAGGAGGTACTAATGGACATACATTTCCAGCGAATATGCTGATTTACGTGCATGTCAAACTACACCCTCAGAAACTAATTACAGACAATAATTTTTCCTCCATCTCTGGGTAAGAAAACTCATCTTTTTCACTCTATGTTAGCACAGCTTTACACACCATGGAGTGCTTTACAATGCTTTACATAGCATGCTTCTCATTTGTCTATGTCATTTTCTTTCCAAATATTTAGATAAGGGTGAAAACTATAATGAACAGGAGACTGATGGCTGTGAAACACACTGAAGGTAAGACGAATGGACACTCTTAGGTCTCATCTGGCTGACTTCTGGACTCTAGAAACAAATTGTTGCTTGGAAGAAATAGTATTTACTTTCATCTAAATACAGATCTGTTATTCAATGTATGACACCTGCTGTATTGCCATGGAGCTTTTTAAGGCTGCACTAACCCTAATTCCTTATTTTTATCCACTTTTTACCCAATCTTCCTCTTAGACCCATGTAGAAAGGGAAGATGACAGTTACACATGATTTTGTAGATGATATTTACATTTGCAATAATATTTCGATTTTCATTTGTGTGTTTCTCCGTTGTCATGCATACAAACATCGTCATCTTTGTTTTGAGGCATAGAACAGGAGTTACTTCTCCCATGCCACCTTCCAGAATTTAGTTCTGAGGCAAAACTGAATGATTTTAAAAACTATTTTTCCTGTAGTTAATTTCCTGCTTGTAGAGTTTTCTGATTTTGCTGATTTTTTTTTAACTCTCACTGGGAAAAAAAAATAAATCCATATCACACCATTTTTTTTCACTGAAACAGCATGTCATTTTTTTCATATGTCAGTTCTACTTTCAACAGTTAAACAATCCTCTGGGTTGGGTTTTATTTATTTAAATTTGTTTGTTTGACATACCCTTATAGAATTGGCAAATGGAATCCACGTGTTAAACCTCCAGCGTTGTCCTTCACCAAAACTATGTCCCCCACAGTGCCAAACTTGCTGCAGGATAAGAACTATCCTGTTCATTTGCTGTCTAGCACAATATAAGCTCTCATCCTGACTGGTGTCTAGGGATGCTATTGCTATGCAAAATATAATTAACAACATCATTAATGCACAGTTATGTCAACATCCCTTTATTTATTAGAGAAGGTTTGCTTGTCTTGATTCATTTATTGAGCTTTATGTAAGCAAAATTAAATATAATAGTTAATTAAGGTACTGAAATCACCTAATTAACTATATGTCTATCTGGAGACTTTCAGCATGAAAAGACATTGAACTAGAAATACAAAATAAAATATTTTGATAATACTGATCATGATAAAAATGCAGATTTTTTATATTTTTATTAGTTTGAACACTTTTATCCATTAGCTGCTTTAGAGATTTCAGGAGGGTACTCTGCAACTTTCTTAGTGAATTAAGAGTGGTAAATCAGGCCCTTTGAACAGATGCATGATTATCAAAGGAGGAAATAACTGTTCAACAAGCAACAGTAAATTGAGTATTGCTGCTAATTATAGAATAGCTCAGGGTCTCTCATCCAAAAGGTATACAATCCACATAGTGGCCAGGACAAGTAAAACTTCAACCTATAGAGAGGCAGCAAAACATACAAAGAGACATAAAGGATTGTTGCATTAAGGATAAAATTTTATCCAAAATTCTGTTCAAATTCAAATAGTAAACCTACACATTGAAAAGACGGATTTCTTTTCATTGACATTTTTTCTGATCACTGTTTAATCTCAAAAACTGATAAATAGCCTTAAATCATAATACCTAAAGTGAAGTCATGGCTCAGCAATAATGTTCACCTTTAAAATTTTATCTTCTAATCATTCTGCTTCTCATCATAAATGCACTGCTGTCTTCTTTTGTTCTGGGTAAACCCTGTACTGCTAGACAAATTTTTGTCCCTCTTTTGATCTTTTAAATCTGTTCAATTTCGTAGTGACTGAGTGAAAGTAGGCAGACTGAGTCATATCCATTATTTAATGCACTGTCATTATGTTTCATAAACCTTTGTAATACACCAGTTACTGTCTTTTCAAAAACAACAGTAGCAACAAAATAAAGCCTGCCACTAGACACTGATCTATTGTCTTCACTGGATTCACTGCTAAGGCTTCTCATTCCATCCTCAGATGTCAAGCTTTGAAACCTTGGTAAGTTTAGACCTATTTCAGGTTGTGTTACTCCATACATATCCACAAACATGCTCCAGTTTTCAAACCATCTGTGATCTGTGTTGATAGCAATAGCAGAAACATTTCACTGCTTCAGAAGCATCAATCTAATCAATTAAGCATTCAAACAACCAGGCATTTGCATGACTTAAAGTTACTGCCAGAGATCAGTTTTTTTTTTTAATATTCCTTTATTTTTTTTCCTGTTTTCTTGGGAAAAATCTATGATGAAAGCAAATTGTATTGTCCTTGACTTACATAATGAATACTTTCAGATTCACTGAAAGCTTGAGTTTTTATCAAATAAATTGGTAACAAAATTCTAGCCTTAAATGCAGGGAAGGGAACAGCCCTTTGTTGTGAAATCATACATATATAAGCATTTTGCTTTGGCATTTTCTAAGTTGAGAATTATACTTAAGAATGCCTATTATTACTCTGTTGATTTGTAGTCAAAGTACTGCACAGTGTAATGTT